ATGTATTTAACTGTAACCAAATTTTTTGTACTGTGTTACGGTTTACGATTTTATTAAGAAGAAATGCACCATGGGATTATCAAATACTTTCCACTTCCACCTGGGTAGTACTCTGGTGTGACTCTAAACATGCCTATTTACGAAAAGAGTGATGTTTGTACAAAAAAAAAAAAAAAAAACTTCATTACTTACACTTCTGATAGTATGCAACCAGGGACTTGGAGATGGCCTGGCGGATGGCTGAGAGAGAAGAACATGTCGATATTCAGAGCCTTTTTTCAACAGTAATCATAAAACATCATGAGCAAAATTATAGAGAGAGGAAATACTTTGCTTACCATAGATCTGTGCGACGTGTCCACCACCCTTCACTCTGACTCTGATGTCCACTCCAGCAAAACGCTCCTTACCAAGCAAGAGCACTGGCTCCAAAAGCTTACAAAAAGAATCACATATTGATGTCAAATTTATGTCATTGATGTTTCTCAAAAGGAAATCCTTTCTATCGTTTTAAAACTGAATTTTAAAATTGTTGAATTCTACATATAGTATTCTAAAATATACGCATGCAACTGTAAGTACCAAAAGCAACTCCAATGCAGCTAGATTTATGCTTAAATTAAAAATAAAATAAAATCAATCCCATATGTACAATGTCCAACATCAACTGCCTGAAGTAAGAGCTTTCACGCTCTACTGTGACATCATTTGATGTGCACAAAATTAAATAACGACCACTTACATCACTCATGTTCACCTCTCTTGTTAGGACTCACCTTGTACTGGAGCGTAGCAGGCTCCACCATCTCCAGGGGTCTGCCGTTGACCTTGATCAGGCCATTCCCCCTCTTGCAGTGGGCAACTGCTGTGGCAGTTTTCTGCAACAGAAAGTTCAGATGAATACCACTGAATTTAATATATTGTACTTGTTTTGTTTTTGTTTGTTTTTTTTTTTGGGGGGGGGGGGGGGGGTAATTTACAAAAACTAAACTAAAACAAAGTAAGTTTCTTCAGCTTTAGTCAAATCTGTAAACATCAGGAGTTGATGCACGACTTCATCGGGTGGGGACAGGCTTCACAAACTGTTGTCGCTCAATTAAAGTAAAATATAAAACATAAAATGACACGAGAAAACCCACTGTGGAAAATGAACATGGCGAAGTAAATGAGTAAATCTATGGCACATACAAACGTGTTCAATCTGGTGATACACAATTGACGTAATGTTTAACTCTTAATTTCCGCTCATTTGTACGCATCGAGATTCAATTTAAAATCCTAGGTGACAGCAACTCCGCATTTCAAGGTGATGTGACGGATTAGCGATATTTAATGGTTTGGTTAAATACGTTTTATTTGACTGTATGAGGATAAACCTGAGCTAACTCTGTTATTCAGAACCCAAACTTAACACTAGCACCAGGGCTAGCGTGGTAAGCTAAAGAAAAGCAAAACCGTCCGGTGTGTAGCACCTACAGCACATCTAACAGTAATTACAAGCTTCAATGAAAGTATTATTACTACTTAATGTTATAAATACCATATAAACTGGCTTATTTACTGCGGAATTACAGTGTAAAATCAGAGGCCCACCACCTTTTAATATCAGCCATTACGGCTACGACTAGCAAGACAAGTTAGCCGCAACCCCACACGTGGATTAAATTGCACATTTTTACTCACTTTACGTCCAAACACCTGGACAGACTGCAGAGGGCCTTTAGCTGGCATGTTTCTGAAACACACAAAAGACAACACTTACATTAGAAACCGGTAAACAAGTATATTTTTCTATTATTTTGCCGGATCACTCTGAAGAACATACCGTCTTCAGCTAGGGTGCCGTACGAAGAGGCCGATGGGGTTTCACATGCGGAGGTTCAGGGGCTGCTGCACGACAATGCAAGCTGTTTTGAGATACGGCTAGCGACAGATGATCTCGCTTTACTACCATCTAATATTGAGCAGATCGGAGAGTTTCTGCTGTTGTTTCACAATGGCAGGGAACAGAATGTACATGTGTTTGGCGTTTGATCTCACGTGTTCCTGTGTTTGTAAATCTAAAAAAACAAAACAAAGGCAGTTTTAAATATTGTCGCATGGACCTCTTGTATAATGCCGGGGGAAACAGGTATTCGGGGTGATATTTACTTTTCATCTTCCTTACATTTTTGTATCTCCTTCAACACTTTTCAACTTAGAAAACCCATTCAACCACCATTAGATTCATCTTCTTTTGGACATGTGTGCTTGTATTTTTCTCATTTTTAACTTTCATATATTTTTTAAATTATTCAACTTTATTCAGCAAAAATCTATAGTGTATTTCAATGGAAGAATCTTCAGATTCTCATTCGACTTACTCCTCTTTCAACTCCAACTACGTACTTCCACATACGTTGACCGACAGACTCCATTCAAACTTTAAAATTAAGCCAAGACATTGAACTATTCAGCTTGTATTTATCTTTTATTATCCTCTATACTTTTATTTCAGTTCCATTTTAAGTTTCATGCTTTTTTCATCCGTTTCAGAGTCTATAATGGGTGTGTGTGGGACGGAATGTTGGAGGTTAGAATGAGACAGTTCAACTGCTAGAGTGGAGAGCAGGGGAAAAAATGATCTTAAAATCTTCTCTTTCAACTGCTGCTGTGTCCACAGCATTCGGTCTATAGCCATCATTTTACCTCAAAACGTAGCCACATTGCCCTCTTTCATCCAATGTTGTTATTATTGTAGTAGATGTATATGGTTCTTTATAAATGTCACCAACGCACAGCTTCCTCCTCCAACTCTTCCACAAGTCCAATGTTAAAAGGCTCCCAAAATTTGTCTGAAAATCACAAGTACAGGCTGTCTTTACACTGTCACCACGTCCATATAATAAATCTGACAGACATGAGAACTCCTCGGGTGGGTATGGCGGATGCCCAGTCATTGCCTGTGCCTGTTCTGGTTCCCCGGGTGAGGGCAACTGTGACCTTGCTGACTCCTGCACCCATTTCAGTTCCTCGGGTGGGAGCAGCAGAGGTCCAGCTTGCTCCTGTGCTCCCAGGGTAAAGGTAGCCAGAACCCAGCAGTTTCTTTTATTGAAAAATTGCATCTCAATTTTATACTTTACAAAATCATCTCGGGGGCCAGATGAAACCTATTTGCAGGCCTGATCCGGCCCGCGGGCCATACGTTTCATACCCCTGCTTTAGCTAGAAAAGGACACTGGTTTTTCAGCAAGACTTGTAGAAACCAGAATTGTAATTTGAAGCATTAGACGGCCGCTGTAGCCACTGACTGAATGTAAGAGCCTGGACATGAGTTCACACATTGTGGATCTTCATCAGTGCTGTGGCAAGATGAGCAAAACTGATGTAGAAGTTTCTTCTGAAGTTCTTCAAGTTCAGGGTTCTGAGTGCAACCCATTTGAACAAGCTACCCAGAATGCATTGCAGCATTAGCCATGGCGGCATGTAAGTCAAATAATTAGTTTTTAAAAATACATATAAAACAAAAACCATATAAACTATATAAAACACTGGTGCTTGTATATGTTGGTGATTGAGACTTGTATAGCACAGAAAAAAAACTATCTGAGAACCAGTCACATGGAACACATGGAATTATCATTGATTGGGAGATTAAAATTAATGATATATTTTTATGTGGTTCAGCCACAACTCTACTAAAACCTCAGCCAGTAATAGGTAGGCCAACTTTTGGACCGTCCAGTTGTCTGTATGACTGCCGCAGTACGTACATCACATTTGCACACTATCAGAAAGTGCCAAACAGCCCTGGTGGAGTGAGGAGCTGTAAAGAGAAGCAGATGCTCTGTTTATATTCTAAAAATGTTTTAAGCTTGTTTCAAAGATTCTGTACAGCAGCTTTAAATGTTTTCCAAAAGCACACATACACTTATCAGTGTTTCTCAAACTTTTTACAGTGTGACCACCTGAAAATGTCAAGCTCTCCCTAAGCACCACTATGAAAGCATGAAATCATAAATCTTACAACACAAAATTAGTATCTGCAGTAAAGATTTTTTCATACATTGTATACATTCTACCACAGGCAAAGTTGCCTCCATTTTTATAGTTCTTTTATTAATATTTTGTAATAATTTATTTGTAATAATTTATTCTGTTTTGGGAGTTTTTTTTATGTATCTGTATTATATTATACATACACATTAAAAGTGAATCTCTGTCCAAAAAATGCACTCAGTTTACTTTTTACTCACTATGAGCATCATTCATTATTCTCCCCCAGTAATTAAGGTTAGGATATGTATTTTTTTTATTCCAATCCATTCTTCTTTTGCAGCATTTAAATAACCTTATCAGATTTGATGGTTTTGTTACAGACTTTTCAAAAAAGTGTTTTGCTTTTCTTTCACAAATGTGGGGATTAAATTGTGTTAAAATGTACAAAACAGTGATGTCATGTTTTGTGACGAGGACCCAGGCACAGAGAGACTTGATGAATTTAAGAATCTTATGATTTAATAAAGAAATTTGCAGACTTGCACAGAGATGGTAAAATTATGATGACTGATAACGGAGACGAAGACAACAGACGATGAGGACAGGGAGGAACAGGGGTTTAAATGCACCAAAGTGACAGTCAGAGAGAACTCGGGACAACATTTAAGGATGCAGGGACTGACAGAGACAGGTTTACCTTGCCTGGCTGGGCAGCTCTCTGGGTGCTCAGCACCCCCAAAGCTCTGATCCTAGAATCGCCCCTGGTTACACCTTTTTTACACACGCTCTTTTCTACTCTGTAATATTCTTGTCAATTTTCTTGATATTTATTTATAATCCCCTCTGTTAATCCTTGATATTTATAATTGAGTGATCTGTATATATTAGTGCTATTTCTTAAATGTGTAAAATCTGTAACATAATGTATTGTTTGGAGTTTAGTCTGTTACTGTTACTATTTTTACCATTTCTTCTTGGAGCAACTGTAACCCACATAATTTCCTTAGGGATTAATAAAGTATTCTGATTCTGATTGTTTCAGGATACTGACCTGCCATTATCCAATACTTAAATCTGTCTATTGATCCCTTTACCCCTGTCCTAACGTGTATATTTATTTTCTTACTCTTCTTATATATATTGTTTTTACTTGCACTGCTGTAACCGGAGCCTCGTCGTCTCGTCTCTCTATATATTGTACTGTATATAGATGACAATAAAGTTTACTTTGACTTCAGCACAGCAGGCGCACCGAGGGCTCTCGCGCTCACTTTTCGGTATAGAATTTCGAAAAAACATCGGTGCAAATTATAAGTCTGTATCATAATGTCTGGTGTTTTCGTGTTTGTTGGTTTGTTTTTATTTTGTTTTATTTTGCGAGTTGGTTATTAGATGCTGCTCCAGCCAGTCCAGAGAATCCCCCGCCACCCCTCTCTCTCCCTGTGCCGCAAGCAGCAGGCGCACCTCGCAAACGAAGGGCGCCCTTACTCCCAGGAAATGGGCGATAGAAAACCGATCGGTGCCTATGCCATTTATGCGCTGCTATGATACCTGATGGCAGACTGATTCAATGCGATGACGTCGGGGCAGCATGAGTACGAGCAATTTTTTTTTTGCCGATGCCCGTGATGCCGCCCTCCCACCACGATGCCGCACTGGGCAACCGCCCATGTCGCCGTATCAAAAACCGCTACTGAGCTGGAGAACTAACTGGAAGTCTCACGCAAAAACCAGCGTCGAGGAGCTCTCAGCCACACTGCTATGTAGCTCCCCCAACGATCCCGATCAGCTGCGGGTGTGTGCGCTCCTCCTCCTTGGGTGTGGCCAGCCTCCCCACGGGATAAGCGCTCCAGGTCTGGTGTGCGAGGAAAACCAGGACACCACACGCACAAACACACACACATACACAAACGCTTTATGTCAAGTTGAACCAGTCCCGCTAGGTTCTGTATGGGTGGGTGGTTTAATGGGTGTTTTGTGATCCAGATGTGCTAATATGTGACGTGTGTCCACTGTGAATAATTGGACAGTTTTTATACAAGTAATCAGAAAAAAAATACTAAAGCACATACATTTATTTTTTTTTTACTGAAGATGACGAATCCATTGATGACTTCCAAGAAGTCTGGTGTGCTGACCATATGATCTAACGTGATCTAACATTGTGAATTCAGTTTATGTGCCTAATAGCAATGTACTTTTTATTTAAATGCATTTTTGACAGACTGCTAACATATTTTTTTCTTGTCTTTGTGACAGGTGACTTTACTGACACAGAGGTCGACGCCGAAGACCTGATGGCAAAGAATATAGTTATATATATATATATATATAATATTATTATAAGTAAGGTATAAGGGTCATATATATATATATATATTACTATCATGATATATATATATATATATATATATATATATATATAATTATTAAAGTAAAAAAGGGAAAGGGGTTCACCTTGGCACAGAAACTCCTCAGATGAAAACTGGCTCTTGTTGGCACAATCAGGGGAAGCAACGCAAAGCTACCTCCCCAGCTTGTCCAGTGTGGATGACCTAGGCAGGATGTTGGCACCTTGAGTTGTTGAAGGAAAACTAGCTGTTGGCTGCTACCTTTTTTTCTACAATCTCCTAGGATGTCTTGGAATAAATGCCTTTGTTCGTGGAAACCACTTCACAGGAGTGGGAGTCCTTAAAACCTACAAATGAAGAGTGATCCTGGAAGAGCTGGGGCATGCTGGTGACCTCAGCTGCAAGAAAGCTTTGTCCCCGATGCTCATCAGTCGCTTCTGCCACTGATCCCAAGATACAGTAGTCTGAATCAGAGTGTGACCCACAGCCCACCAACAAAATGAGAAAAAGGTGCAAAAGGTGCACCTGTAGGATTAGAACAGCAGCCACTTTCTCCAGCTGTGGAAGTGTGCCT